TATTTTTGTTTCCCTCCTACCTTCACTAAACGTGGCAATTCCAGAGTAGGTTACTAACGATGAAGGCAAGGTACTGTACCATCTTTTTCAGAAGCGTGTGACACCATCTCATTTCAACTTTAGCACTGTGATAACAACTTTCTTAATTTTCCAACCCAAAGATACAGAAATTCCAGTTCCCTCTTAAATATGCTGTAATGATTTGATCATCATTGCCACTGCAACGGTAAAATAATAAACACCCAATTCTGGATGCTGTAATAGATACACTAAAAAGGACAGGAATCAAGGAGACTTGAGGTACATAGCGGCCTGAAGAGCTTAAGACATTTATCTATTGACTAATTGATCCCGTACGATCTCCTAAGTCTCTCTAAACTCTACGTTTACGGAAATCTCTTCTGAGAATGTAAAAATGACGTCCGGAATACAGTCAGAGGATCAAGATTATTTAGTCCTGCAGAATTCCACAAAAATAAATTGTAAATTTTCCAAAGCTTGTACCCTACTTCATTTTCAAGCAAGAGAGCAATTAGCTTCGACTTGAGAGTTAAAGAATCGCTGGTCAGTGAAACCAGGTGCAGTTCTGGAAAGAAGCCATCTTCCTACGGCAACTCCGGATCGCCATTTTGTTTTCTCGCTGCCTCCCCCTGACGCCACTTCCGGTGTTACCTGTGTCGTTACCGAGAGTCGTAAACAAGGTGTGCAAGTATCTGCAGAGCTGTCGGGATGCAGCAGAGCGGAGCGGCTGGATGCCGTGGCTGCGCTCTCTTCTCTCTGCTGGGCGTCCTGTTCTTCCAAGGTGAGTGCTTCGGCTGGCTGTGCTCCACTTCCGGCCGGGGGTTTACGGAAGATTGTCGCTTTTCCGGTTCCGGGTGGGGGGTCTCAGGAAGCCCTTGCCCCGCTTCTGGGAAGGAAGGAAGGGGGAGTGTGTGGGGAGGATGTTCCTCCTTGTTAACACCCACTGAGGGGAGTTGGTATCTTGTCAGTTCTTTCCTAAGTCCTAGGAGGTCGACCACTTTGCGTGACTTGGCATTATGTTCTGATGATGGCATGACTCTATGCGACCTCAAAAAACGGTGGCTTTTGGGGCACCCCGTGTTATTTTGTGATGAGGTATCAGTGATTGACTCTGCTGTGGTTTTGGGCGCTGTATTCCCTGATTAGAAAAAGGCAATTCTCGTGTTCAATAGTTTGTCCCAGTAATTTTGGTAAACAAAATCATGAGTTTGGTAACTTTATTTTATATAGGTAACTATCAGGGGCTATGAAACAAAACGTTTGTTAGTCTCAGAAGGGATGCGGTGTGATTTTGTTGTAATAGAGAAACATATTGTTGAGGAAAAGCAACTGCTTTAGTATTTTAATATTTAAAAAAGTACAAGAAGGGGCATATTAGTTCTCTTAAAATTTTAATCTATTAGCTAATATCAGAAGTACAGTATTCACACTATCATATAGTCTTAAAATTTGGATAAATTTTGCTTTCACGCAGTTTTCAAATTGCATAAATTTCAGTCCAACCTAATTAGCTTTATTTTAGGGTGCAATTATTTCCTGGATTTTTTATGTGTGTGTATCTTTCTGGGAAATCAAATATTAATATAGCTAGCATTAGAGTGAATTAACTTCATAAAATTTTCCTGTGGGTAATGGGAGTTTCTGAAAGGGACTTTAATATTATATAAATATAGAAACTTCAATATAAAGACTTCAGGTGTCCTAAATCTCAGCAGGTAAATCTGAGAAGTTTTTTTTTTTTTTTTTTTTTTTTTTTAAATCTGGTGACTAATATTCATGCTGCCAGCACACTCCCTGATCCCTCCCAGCTGCCTGTGTCATAAGTGTCCAGTTTTTTAGCAAAATTATTTTGTAACATAGTATTTAGGCTGGCCTACTGTCACTCCAAATAAACCTAGTTCCATCTATGTCTCATTCTCTCTGTGTCTCTCTCATATACACACAGGAAACATTCAAATATTGTCCTATTGAGAAAAAATTCTAGAAATTGGGTGTTTACTTAAACCTAATGTTACTTTGCATTGAAGAGCATCTCTCAACCAAACATTAAAAGTTGATTTTATGGTCTTTGTGTACTTGTTGAATAGATTTATCCTTTGCCTTTTAAAAAATAACAGCTGAGATATAATTCACATGCCATATAATCTACCCATTTTAAAGTGTACAATTCAATGGTTTTTTAGTATATTCAGTTATACAATAATTTCCACAATCAATTTTAGAACATTTTCATCACTCCAAAGAGAAACTCCATACCTATTAATAGTCACTCCCCATTCCCCACCTCCCCAGCCTCTGGCAACCAACAATCTATTTTCTGTCTCTATGGATTTGCGTATTCCAGACATTTCATATAAATGGAATCATTTGTGACTGGTTTCCTTCACTTAGCATGTTTTCAAGGGTCATTCTTTTTTTTTCTTTTGAATCTGTCAGGTAATGGACTTTGGTTTCATACCAGTGTTTATTGCCTTTCCTTTTTAAAGATAGGACCCCTAAAATTATTAGTTCGTTTGAATTCTCCCTAAGTTATAAGTCTGGTCCTACTATATATCTAAGTACTTAAAAAGGATAGACTAAGGAGCCTAAGGTTCTTACACTTTTCTCTTGTCCATTTAAGTGTACAATTATATGAATCAAATATTTGCAGATTTATATTTTGGAAAATGAGGAGTACAAAATTGGGTGCTTTTTTCTGACATGTTTGTTTAATTTCTTCCATGCATAAAATTACTTACGTTAAAATGTGATTTTCTTATTTTTCTCTCAGATTAAAACATTTTTGTAAATTATTACGAATATTTCTATAGTTGGCTATTTTTACCTGGCAAGAATGCTTTTCTACTCCGGTGAAAAGATAAATATCTGTAAGGAAATTAGGCCTAGGATGGAAATTTCTGGATAAATATAATATTGGATTGGTATTTTTTTTCTTCTATTTTATTTTTGTGAGTGGAGGAGACAAACTGTCTTACATCCATTGATTTTTAAATACGTTTAATTTCAATATAGCATGTATAGAGAAAAGAGCACATATCATAAGTGTATAGCTCACTGAATTTTTAGGAACTGGACACACCTGGGAAACCAGCACCCGAATCAGGGTATATAGAATGTTCCTGGCATTTTCAGAAGCCTTCTTTGTGCTTCCTTCCAGTCTTTATTCTTTCTTTCCCAAAAGGAACCAACATCCTGATGTCTAGCAGTGTAGATTATTTTAGTTTATCCGTGATCTTACTTTTCTGTAACTATACATTTAAGATCCACTTATCCAGTGTTTAGATCTCAGCAAAGTGACTTTAAATATTAAAAACTTTGTGGCAAAATCATGCTAATGAATAAGATAGGTAGCTTTATTGATTGTGTACTTACCATAGTTCAGTAGCCAAAATTTGCTCAGAACTTATTATTTTTATGCTTATTTTGTAAAAATTTTTGTTTTATAAAGTGGAAACTGTTGGTTGGGTCCAGTTGAATAAATATTATGAAGCATCCATAATGTGCTTGGCTCTGTTTTGATGAGTTCAGGGTCTATTGGAGAAGATGGATAAGTCAACAGATAATTTTAGAATCTGATACTAAGAGGAATGCACTAGAAACCATGAACGTGCAGAAGAGATGCCCTTGATCTGCCATGAAGATAAAGGGAAGACTTCCTAGTGGTGTCCCCAAAGTTAAATCTTGAAAGAGAAATAAGAGTTAGAGGTAGGGAATGATGAAAATTCTAGACATAGAGGGGAGCATAAACAAATCATGAAGGCATTACATAACATTCCAAGCAAGTTTTCTGAAACTCACTTTGATTGGATTAACCTAGATCACATATTGACATTGGCATACATATCGACCTATCTCTGTAATCAGGAGGATAGTGTGTGTGCTGGAGCCAGCTCCTCTGGCTCTTGAGAGCAAATTATGTGTATCTCTTCCTAACTCAGCATTCAGGGACTTCACCTTTGTAGTTCGAAATTAGCCATGGTAGGAGTATTTGCAGAACAGAAATTGTTTAACCCTACGTATCTGAGCTGGGTTTTTTCTTTTTTTCTTTCTGTAAAATTTTTTAGCTGCTTATGAGGAGACCACTGGATATAATGATTGATTTAGGCTAACCTGGGTCAGCCTCAGTGCTGGTAATAGGGTCAGTTGCTAGTTATTCTTAGTTTGCCTCTGTCCGACCAAATCCACTCACTTTTCTTCTCTATTCTCTATTCTCTGGAAAGCTTATCCTATGTACAGCATCATTCAGGCTCTTTTCCTCTGGCTTCCAATTAGATATGGCCAATGGAAGGCATTGGCAGGAGATCGGAGAGCAGAATGAGAGAGAGGTCAGGGCATTTCTTCCCTGTTGCCTCCCTGCCTTAGTGCCATGGTTAGCAGTGCCTATATCCCTCCAAGACTATAGCTCCCACTCTCACCAGGCTCTGGTAACACCATTTCCTTCCCTTGCTCCTTCAGGCCTGGGAATGGTAAAGGCTTTGTGCCTTTGTTGGTTTCCTTGACCCTGGAAAACATCCCTTTGAGTACACTTTTTAAAATCTCAGCTGATTTTGTCTTTGATTTCCTTCCTGGACACTGACTGTTAGGATCATCTTCCCCCAAGTTCAAATGCTATATGGGAAAAGGTAGATATCCAGAGAAAATCTGGATATTGTTAGGAAAGGGGGTGAGGGAAAATGGATATTGAACTAGCAAAAAACCCCCAAATGTCTACTATGTTCAGTTTGAGGTCTTGTGGTGGTGATATTCAGGTGGATATATCCAGTAACATTTGAACACTCAGAGGCAGGTCATGGTTAGCAATACAGATTGAAAATCATTAGCCTATTAGTGGTTGTTAAATCTATAAAAGTGGATAGGATAACACCAAGATCAAGTATTCAGATCTCCATAAGAGCCAGCTGCCAAAAAAAAAAAAAAAAAAAGTGGATAGTATTGTGCAAGGAGAACATGTTGAATGACCGTGGGCTCAGAATGGAACTCTAAGAAACACCAGTGGTTAAGAGGATGAGTAGGAAAGGAGGAGCCTTAGAAAGAGATTTGATAGGAACTTTCAGAGATGTGGAGTGTGTGTGTGTGTGTGTGTGTGTGTGTGTAACAAAATTAATGTGGAGAGGTGATTGGAGGGAGACTAGTGAGATTCTGAAATAATTCTAACTCAGATCTCTTCTTTGCTGTAAACCAGGTGTTGGCAAACTTTTTCCATAAAGGGCCAGAGAGAAAATATTTCAAGCTTTGTGGGCCACACAGTCTCTGTTGCAACTACTCAAATCTGCAGAAAAGCATGAAAGCAGCCATAGATAATACATAAACAAATGAACATGGCTATGTTCTAATAAAACTTTATTTACCAAAAGGTGGTGTAAATTTTTTTTAGCTGTTTACTAGCACTGGATGTAATGATTGGTTTAGGCCAATCTTGGTCAGCCTCAGAGTTGGGAGTAGGGTCAATTGCTAGTTATCCTTAGTTTGCTCCCCTCCTATCAGATTCATTTGCTTCCATTTTGCCCATGGGCCATAATTTATTGACCCCTAACCTAAACCAATGGTTGACATTATCACCTTAAACTATGTCAACTTAAACTCCTCCAGAAATGAACTCATTCCCCTGCCAAGCCTGATACTTTTCTAGTCTTCTTTCTTTCAGTGAATGGCATCACCACGTCAGAAACCTAAGAGTCATTCTTGACCCTCCATTTCCCTAGCATTCCACATCTGATCTATCACCAATTTTTGTTGATTTTACCTTGAAAGCATTGTTTTCTTCCTAGTTCTCTCCATGTCCACTGCTGTCAACTTAGTTCAAGCTTCCCTTATTTCTCACTTAACTATTATAATAGCTTCCTAAGTAATCTCATATATACTCTTGACTCCTCACAGGTGTCTTCCCTAAAGCGATCTTTGAAAAATGCAAATTTCATCCTGTCTTTTCTTACTCAGTGCCACATTTAAGTACTTTCCATGGCTTCCCATTACTCTAAGGACAAGGACCCAAATTTCTTTTTTTTTTTAAAGATGACTGGTAAGGGGATCTTAACCCTTGACTTGGTGTTGTCAGCACCATGCTCTCCCAGGTGAGCCACGGGCCAGCCCTGGAACCAAATTTCTAAAGTCCTGCATGGTCTGGTTCCTGCTACCTCCTAGTCTTATCTTATTCTACTGTCTCTCTCTTTCAGGCTCTCTGTGTTGCAGCCATACTGCCTTCTTTTCAGTTCCTTGACTGACTGCTCCCTCCTGGTGCAGGACCTTTCCATATGCTGTGTCTTCTGCCTGCAGGACTCTCTGTCCTCACCTTGTTATCCTTCCTTCAGATCTCAGGTCAAGAGTAACTAACAGGGAAGCTTTCATCAACCACTTCCTTCTTTCCCACCATAACAGGTGCAGTTCTCATAGCCACTCTCTTTGTCCTTTTTTCATAGTACTTAACAGTTTGTAATTATGCATTTATCTTTATGATTGTTTGATTAATGTATCGAACTTCCCCTGTGTTTCAAGTATACAAAACAGTGTATTTATTTTGTTCACATTTAATCGTAGCCTAGAGGGTGGCACAAAACAGATGCTCAATAAAGGTATGTTTGAAGAATGAGTGAATGAATGAAAGTATTGTGATGTAAGCCATGGGATAGAGAACTTCAAGGATCAAGTAGTCACTGCTGCAAAGGGATCCAGTAAAATAAAGATAGAAATTTGTCTACTGGAGTTTTTGTTGCTTGTATTTTACAGTTTTAAGATATGTGATGCCCTTTACCAGGAGTGGTAGTGGAGTCCAGTTGTACTGTAAGGGTCCAGAAGTGAATGGGAAGGGGGGAAATGGAGACCTCAGGTGTAGGCTACTCTTTCACAAAGTTGACTTACAAAGGAAAGAGAAGTCAGTAGCTGGTAACTAGGGAAGTATTACAGGGTTAAGGAAAGATTGCTATTATTAAAATTATTTGTTTTTAAGGATGAAAGAGACTTCTCTGTGTTTAGACCCTGAGGGGAAAGAAGGATCTTCCTGAAAGGGAAGGTTTTTCTGCTGAAGCAAGACTTGGAGGGGATGAATCCTGGGCAGAGCAGAAGGGGTTGGCCTTGCATAGGAAAAGGGACATCACATCTTTTCAGATTGGAAGTAAGGATGGGTGCAGAGGCACACATCTTGTGGTGGCCCCAAGTTTCTTGAAGAAGTAAGAGGTGACACTTTTTTTTTTCCCCTGAAAGTGAGGGGTTTGGAGGTTGCATACAGGACTGAAAAAGAATAACAAGTATTTGAGGAATCAGAGAATGAGAACCTAACCAAGGCAGGTTAAAGGGTCACCAGACTCACAGAGAGCTCAGCCATGGGTGGGGTTCATGAATTTCTATGGTAATTGTTTGTGCAGTTGTGTGATTTTTCTCCTTTGGGGTACATCAGCCTAGTCTAGGATGGTCATATAGAGCTGAGCTTTTCCTGAATGGGTGCAATAAAAAGATAGGAGTGTTGGAGAGTTAGGAGTGTTAAAAAATACTGTAAAAAAGGTGATAGGAAGAGAGTGGGTGACTAATGAGCACATTTTGTTTTTATACTAGAATTCTTCATGACCCATTCACCTTTCTCCCAGTCTCTTTCTGCCTCTGAATTTTTACCCCGAAGGTTCTTACACCTAATGGAGGAAATAGCCTTTATATATTAGGTGCAATCGATGGCATATGTGTTTGAGCTGCTTTATGTACTAAGTATTATGAGAACATTGAAGAGAGAGCTATGAACTGTATCAGGGAGTTTGGGAAGGTATCCCAAAGGGGGCTGATAGTTGAGCTGCGTGTGAGTGTTGGGGATATGGTGTGATAGGGAACAACCCAGGCAGGATTGGTAGGGATGGGGAGAGCCTTCCAGACAAAGACATATTCAAAGAAAGGCACAGTGACATGAGAGGAGACAGTACATTGGGCATTCCAGGCATGGTGAAGGGGATGGGATGGGTAAGTGGCAGAGTGGCAGAAGTTTGAGGCCAGATTGTCACTGTTTGGATTTTATTCCATAGCCCAATAGGGAATTATTGAAGGTTTTTGAGTATGTGTGGTGTTCATTTTAATAATAATAGCTAAGGTTTATTGAAAGTTTTTATTCCAGGTGCTAAGCATTTCATGTGTTATATCTTTAAATTGTAGTGGATCTTCACAGTGATCCAGTGAAGTAGGTCTTGTTATTATTCCCATTTACCAAGTGAGGAAACTGAATCTTGAACAGGTTAGGTAACTGTGATCGAGGTCTCATAGCCAGAAAGTAGCTTATCTAGAACTCAAGCCCAGATCTGGCTAATTCTAAATCTACACATTTAATCTTTATATAATACTTATGTTTTAGAATAAAGGAGTGGGATGTGGGGAGAGTATAGATTATCTGTTCATTTCAACTTTCCAGTTTTTAGAGCTGAATCTAGAGTGATGGGTAAGGATCTTTTCATGTTGATGGGTCAAGAGTGAGGGCATAAGAGAGAGTGGGGACTGAAGGATGAAGGCTTTTCAGATAGAGGAACAGCATTTGCAAGGGCATAGAAGGAATGACAAGTTTGGCATGGCAAATTCAGAACGGATGCTGTGGATGAATCAGAAGTCATCCTCATCTTTGGGATGGGGATGGGTCAGATTCTTATTAGAGCTCTTATTGGTGAGCTTGGTCTTGGTCTCCTCCTTTTAAGAAGAATGTGAACAGACTAGATTGTCTAGAGAGGAGTGACAAAAATGATTCAAAGCAGGCAAAGGTAAAGGCAATGGGATTGATGATTCACAACTGTGATAGGAAAGGCTGAGGCTTTGTAGGCAGAACTGAAGAGGTGGCAATAATGATGGCAGTGCTGTCTAACATGCACTGAGCACCTGCTCTGGGTTAGGTAGGCTTCTCAGTGTTGTACCTGTTTTAACTTGTTTAATCATCACAGTGACCTTCTGACTACTATTATCATTCTGATAAGGGTGAGTAAACTGAAGAAGTAACTTGCTAAAGCTACAGAGCCAGCAAGTGACAGGGCTGGGATTTGAACCCAGACTCTCTGGCTTAGGAGTCTGTGCACTCAAGCACTACACCATCCTGTCTACACCAGAGGGACTACTGGTTTTCAGGACAATGTGTGGGTTTGCTCTTTTCTGAAATCTTGCTGCTCTGTTTGCATTTGACTGCCGGAAGAATCATGGCTTATTGAGGTGGATAAGGAAGCAGGAAAAACAAAGTGCAGGTGACTTAATTTCCCAAAATATGGCTCCCTAGTGGAAGGCAAATTTCTACTTATTTCTGAAAGCAGAAAGGATTGGTCAGAAGAAAGTGCCAGTTCTTTTGGGGGAGATGGAGTGTCAAAGTTGGATATGTCAGTGGTTTTGGAAAGAGTACATCTCTAGAGGGACATATAAAAAGGATATCTTAATTTACCTTGTAGGATGCGTTCAGTTCTGTTTTTCTCCCCATGATTTACTTTTTTTTTTTTTTTTTTTGTATTTTTTCGTGACCGGCAACGGATCGCAACCCTCAGTGTCGCGCCCGTACCGGACCGGGACCGGCAACGGGATCGCAACCCTCGGCGTTGCACCCGCACCTCGCTCAGCCAGTGAGCGGCCGGTCTGCATGTGGGATCCAAACCCTCGGCGGGAGCACCGCCGCACTCCCAAGTGGCTCACTGTAGCAGTGCGCCACCGGGCCGGCCCCCCATGATTTACTTTTAATGGATGTGTGATTCATTAACCAGCTTTAAGGTGGTGTGGGAGGGATGCAGCGGGGAACCAGATAGAATCTTGGAGCAGTTTAAAAGAATTCTTTGAAAAAAATTTTATTTCCTGTTTCCATTTTGGTGGTTATTGAGGCAGTGGTAGCTTCGTGTTGCAACCATGCTGTACTTGAGGCTGCCATATTTCCAGAGTGTGTGTGTGTCTGGGGGGGATGGAAAATATTGCCTTGTAGCCTGCTGTGGGCAGACCCACTTGTTTGTCCTTAATTTAACCACAAGCCTGTATTTGGGAAAATGCTGATATGATGAGGTTTTAAAATTTTACCCAAGTATTCAATTTTGATTTAGGATAGAAAATAATAAAAATAGTATCCTTGATTAATGCAGATATCAGCTCGTTGTCTCTTGTGGGGTTGCCTGAGAAAATATTTATTGCTCTGGCTTTTTGATGAGAGCTCTAAAAATGGTAAATAGCATCTCTGTATTGTTCACTCACATCTGTATGTTCCATCCAAATGAATACATTTTAAGTGTTTGGGCTTGCTTTGATTAGGTATTTATATCGTCCTTTCCTTGGAGATTAATGCAGATGCCAATGTCCGAGGTTATGTTGGAGAAAAGATCAAGTTGAAATGCACCTTCAAGTCGACTTCAGATGTCACTAACAAACTTACCATAGACTGGACATATCGCCCTTCCAGCAGCAGTCGCACAGAATCAGTAAGTGTGTACTTTTCAGAAAGTTTCTTTGAGTCTCCTGTAGTCAACAGTTTCAGAATCCTTTTATTGTAAGTCATAGGCACACATGAGGTCTTCTTATCTTAGAATAAAAGACGAGCTTCTTTTAAACAGAAGGAGATGAGCTTCTACCCTATATAACATTCATTTGGTCACATAGGGCTTTTTATTCTTGCATGTAAGAATCTTGCAAATAAGCTGTAGGAAAAAAATAGAAACTCAGAGGAAATGTGGTTTAATTTTGTTTCCTCTTTGTCATTTCTTTTTGCTTGGTTTCATAGCTTCATTTTCAGATTTGATGTACTAAAAAGGATTGTACTCCAGGACTGTTGATAGAAAAATTCTATAGGTCCTGGTCACAGACAACCTTTCCCTTAAAGCTGTTCATTTCCTCTACTATGAAGTTATCTCAGTGGGTGTATCTGTTTGTATGTCCGTGCTCTGTAAATTTATCTTGGCATCTTTTCTCAGTGTATAAACATCTGCATTGATTTATATAGCTGCCTTTGAAAGAAATGGTGGCATCTTGTATTGGTGACAGACGTTGGTGACACATGGTCTTATAATATTAGAAGCAATATACTTTAGTCATGTATATAAAAGACATTTATGGTTCAAACCCCATTGTGGGTGTCTGATTGGAGATTACAATACTATAAAAAACCCTTTCTCTTAATGCTTCCAGCTGTATCCTTAGCTCAAGATAGATGCTGTTCAAGAATGTGAATGTCATAGCTGTATATGAGGTTGTATTTTTAAAAGTATCCTTAATTTATTTATCCTTCCTTCATTAGAAAAGCATTCTCTTTGGTTTTAATGTATAAGCTTTGAATTCTGCTTTAGGAGCCACTGTTGGATGCCACATAGCTTGGAGTGAGGTAGGTGACTTCAGTGAAAGAAGCTAGGCTGTATTTGTGGTCCCTTTTTCTTTAGACTTAAACTAGTTCACTTTATTCTGAATGGTCAGGGAACGATGGCTGGCCTTATTTCACTCTGCCTGCTTGGCCAAAAGTAGGACAGAGCAAGCAGTGGGGAGCTTCTTGGGTCAGAGACCTTAAATGTAAGCAGCAGTTCTTTTTTATTTTTTCTTATTAAGAATATTCATGAGATACAAAGCTAATTGTCACCCCTCCTGCCCATGATGTGAGGGCCAGATTCATACTGGGGGCATACCCCTTACCAAAAATTACTTTTTTTTTTTTTTTTTTTTTTTTTTTTTTTTTCCGTGTCCGGCAACGGATCGCAACCCTCAGTGTTGCCCCCCGTACCGGACCGGGGACCGGCAACGGGATTGCAACCCTCGGTGTTGCTCCCGTTTTTGTCTTTTGTCTTTTTCCGTGTCCGGCAACGGATCGCAACCCTCAGTGTTGCCCCCCGTACCGGACCGGGGACCGGCAACGGGATTGCAACCCTCGGTGTTGCTCCCGCGCCTCGCTCAGCCAGTGAGCGGGAACCGGTCTGTATGTGGGATCCGAACCCTCGGGCGGGAGCGCCGCCACGCTTCCCAAGCAGCACACTTATCCAGTGCGCCACCGGGCCGGCCCCCAAAATTACTTTTGTACCCCTTGTCCCCCTCAATTATCCCCCAACCTCCCTCCCCCTCACCCCCATTCCACTATGTAGCCCTAGGAATGTTCCCTCCCTCTGTAAGACCATGGCACTACTGTGATCTTTCTTTCCTTCCTTCCTTCCTCTCTTAGCTCCCACATATGAGTGAGCACATGTGATATTTATCCCTCTGTGCTTTGCTTATTTCACTCAGCATAAGTTTCTCCAGGTTCATCCATGTTGTTGCAAATGGGAGTATTTCATTCTATTTTATCGCAGAGTAGTATTCCATAGTGTATATATACCACAGTTTCCTTATCCAATCATCCATCGATGGACATTTAGGTTGGTTCCATATCTTGGCTATTGTAAACAGAGCTGTGATGAACATGGGAGTGCAGGTATCTCTTTGACATGATGATTTCCATTCCTCTGGATACATACCCAGAAGAGGGGTTGCTGGATCATGTGGAAGATCTATCTGTAGTTGTTTGAGAAACCTCCATATTGTTTTCCATAGTGGTTGTACTAATTTACAGTCCCACCAACTGTGCAGTAGTGTTCCCTTCTCTCCACACCCTCACCAGCTTTTGTTATTCACTGTCTTTTTGATTATAGCCAGTCTAACTGGGGTGAGGTGCTATCTCAATGTGGTTTTAATTTGCATTTCCCTGATGACCAGTGATGTTGAGCATTTTTTCATGTATCTGTTGGCCATTTGTATGTCTTCCTTTGAAAAATGTCTATTCAGCTCCTTTGCCCATTTTTTAATTGGGTCGTTTGTTTTTTTGCTGTATAATTGCTTGAGTTCTATGTATATTCTGGATGTTAATCCCTTGTCGGATGCATAGTTGACAAAAATTTTCTCCCACTCTGTAGAGTGTCTTTTCACTCTGTTGATTGTTTCCTTTGCTGTGCAGAAACTTTTTAGTTTGATATAGTCCCATTTGTTTATTTTTTCTTTTGCTGCTTGTGCTTTCACACTCATGTTCATAAAGCCTGTGCCCTGACCTAAGTGCTGAGGTGTTTCACCTATATTTTCCCTTAGTAATTTTACAGTTTCAGGTCTTATTCCTAGGTCTTTAATCCATTTTGACAGCAGCTCTTTTATAGTGCTGTTCTCTGTGAGTCTGGTCAGAAAATCAGCAAACATACCCAAATTGGAATTAATGGACCTTTTAAGTCACATAACATGATGTTGCAATTATGTGGTTAGTTGGTCAGGATTTTTTCAGATTAATCAATTAGCAAGGATTTGCATACCGTGAATTTAACATGGAGTTTACAGGTTAGATTAATCTTGAAGATAAACAGACCTTGTTTTGTCAAAAAGATGTTACAAATCCTTTCATACTGATGCTGATAATTAATGGTAGGCATTCTTAACCTCCCCTTTGGAACGCTCATCACACATGTTACTTTTTAGTATATGTATTTACCACTAGAATATAAGTTCCATGAGAGTAGGAATTGTGCCTGTGTAACTCCCACTATATCCTTTTGCTTAACACAGTGCCTACCACATAGCAGGTGTGTACTAAATATTTGTTGAATGAATGCATGAACAAATGAACCAACAAGTGATTCAGCATCTCTAGGAAGTTGCTCTTCAAAATTGGGCAATTCAGTGGTTGTAAATACCAGGATTCCTAAGTGGGAAGTTACCAAGTAAACAAAGAAAGAGGAAAACCTTGAATTGCATAAGAGAGAAAAGTCGCATTATATTGTAGTACTTGCCTGCTCCACCTCCAGGTCTAATTAGATGCTTTTGGTGATGAAGCACCTGATGGTCAAGTCTGAAGCAGCATTGTTTTGATTCAACATACATTCATTGAATACTTGCCATGCATTTGACTTGGGGTTAATATTTATTGCCAAGGTAGATAACTTGAGAGAGGCTGTATTATATTATACGCTCCTGGTAATTTTGATAATAAATAATCTCACCTTTGTCACTTACTAGTTGTGTACCTTTGAATAACTCGTTTTTTGGTTTTTGGTCTTGTTTCCCTTTCTATAAAAATACCTGTCTCATGTAGTTCAGGGTTGTTATGAGGCTCAAGTAAGTAAATGTGTAGAAGTCATTTGCAAACTATAAAGTGCTATACAAATGTTAGCTGTTACTTTATTCTTTATTTAAAATTTTTTTTTATTTTTTAATTTATCAATATACAATGTAGTTGATTTTCATGTCCCTTTAATAGATATTACTTTAGAACAAGGTTTCTCAGCTTTGGCACTGTTGACATTTTGAGCTGAATGATTCTTTGTTTGGGGGGCTATCCTATACATGGTAGGATGTCTAGCAGCGTCCTTGGCCTCTACTCACTAGATGCCAGTAACTCATCTCCCCAGATGTGTTAACCAAAAATGTCTCCAACTTAATAGCAGGAAAACAAATAATTCCATGCAAACATGGGCAAAAGATTTGAACAGACATTTCCCAAAAGAAGAACTACAAATGGCCAAAATATTTATGGAAAAATGCTCAACATCTCTAATCATCAGAGAAATGCAAATTAAAACCTCAATGAGATATCACATCACACCTGTTAGAATGGCTATTATCAAAAAGACAAAAGATAAATATTGGCCAGGATGTGGAGAAAAGGGAACGCTGGCACACCGTTGGTGTGAGTGTAAATTAGTACAGCCATTTTGGAAAATAGTATGGAGGTTCCTCAAAAAACTAAAAATAGAATTACCATATGAGCCAGCAGTCCCACTTCTGGGTATATATCCAAAGGAATTGGAATCGGTATGTCAAAGAGCTATTTGCACTCCCATGTTTATTTCAGCATTATTCATAATAGCTAAGATATGGAATCAACCGAGGTGTCCATCAATGGATGAATAGATAAAGAAAATGTGGCATATATACAAAATAAAACACTACACAGCCTTAAAAAAGAAATTCTGCCAGTTGTGACAACATGGATGGAACTGGAGTACATTATACTAAAGTGAAATAAGCCAGGCACAGAAAGACAAACACTGTATGATCTCACTTATATGCAGAATCTAAAAAAATCAATGTCATAGAAACAGAGAGTAGAAAGGTGGATACCAGAGGCTGGAGGGGAGGGCAAGCGATGGGGAAAGGGAAGATGTTGACCAAAGGGTATACAGTCTCAGTTAGACTGGAGGCATAAGTTTTAGTGATCTGTTGAGCTGCATGGTGACCATAATTAATATTGAAATATTGTATATTTCAAAATTTCTAAAATTACAGATTTTGAAAGTTCTTACCACAAAAAAGTAAGTTGGTGAGGAGATGGATATGTTAATTAGCTTGGTTAAATCTTTCTACAATCTATACCACTGTATAGATAAAAAAATCACATTGTACCCCATAAATATACACAATTATTATTTTTCAATTAAAAAAGAATGAGTAAGTGCATGAATGAATGAATTTTTTTTTTTCCTTTTTTGTCTTTTTTCGTGACCGGTAACGGGATCGCAACCCTCAGTGTCGCGCCCGTACCGCGACCGGCAATGGGATCGCAACCCTCGGTGTCGCACCCGCACCGCGCTCAACCAGTGAGTGGACCGGTCTGTATATGGGATCCGAACCCTCGGCGGGAGCGCCCCTGCGCTCCCAAGCACCGCACTCTACTGAGTGCGTCACCGGGCCGGCCCGAATGAATGAATTTTTAAAAAGTCTCCAGATATTGCCAAATGTCTCCTGGAGGGTAAATTTGCCCCTGGTTGAGAATTATTGCTTTAGAACTTCAGGGAGAATTTAAAAGACATTCGAGGATTGGGTTTCTAGGATTCTCTCATCAGTCCTTTTTCTGATCAATTTTATTATTAACTTTCTTTTCACCTATAGGATGGAGGCAAAAAAAGCATGTAAAAAATTGCCCAACTTTAAAAACCCGTTATACCGTTGTATTTTCTTTTGGACCTTCTTGGCTTTACATCTTCATTGCATTTTCTAATTAACTTTTTTTCTCATGGTTGCTTCCTTAGATTTTTCATTACCAGTCTTTCGAGTACCCCACCACAGCAGGCACATTTCGGGATCGGATTTCCTGGGTTGGAAATGTATACAAAGGGGATGCATCCATAAGCATACGCAACCCTACCATAAAGGACAATGGGACATTCAGCTGTGCTGTGAAGAATCCCCCAGACGTGCACCATAATATTCCCCTGACAGAGCTAACAGTCACAGAAAGGGGTAAGCTAGTTGCCACCAACCTTTTACTGCTGTGCTCTGTGACTACTGTGATGCTTTCTGGAGAGCTCAGGGATAAGCAAAGCTATTTATCTTTGCCAGCCAGTTGGGTCATTGGATCATTGTGTCAGAGTAATAGACATCTTAGGATGAATTTTTTAATCTTCATTTTGAAAACTGAATTTTTTCTTCAAGTATTGTCATAGTTGCTCCATTATCCCTTTTTCATTTCAACTTCAGTTGACCAAAGGCTTTGTGGAATGTATGGCAAACCCCTGAGTAAATGGAGATTTGTTATCTATGTGAAATAGAAGTCATTCCAGCTTCCCTAGTATGTTCATACTCCCAGTTATGAGTCAGTGTTCTTACCTGTGTCCTGAAAGGGTACCTCCTCTAATGATGGGAGGTAGTGCATTTCTTTTATGCTGCAAAGATATGTTATGATTCATGATTCATGATAGATGCCTTTTCATTTCTCGTCTTTTTGAAGTCTTCCTTCCTTCCTTTCTTGCTTCCTTCCTTCCACCCTCCCTCCCTCTTTCCTTCCCCTTCCCTTCCCTTCCTTCTTCCCTCTCTCCCTCCCACCTTCTCTCTCTCTCTTTCTTTCTCTCCAAATGCTGCTCCTCCTCCTCCTTAAGATAATAACTCATAGGTTTCAAGGATATGTGCACATTTATCCTGCTGGCAGGAGGAGAAACTGATATAGTTTTCTGGAAGACAGTTTAATAGTATGAATCAGATGCCTTAAAAGGATGAGGGAACTACAAAAAGTTTGTGGAAAGATTTGTATTATCTTTTAATTCCATTTTCCCATGAACTTTTTGAAGTATCTGCATATATGCCCTTTGATCTAGTTATCCCATTTTAAACGTTATATCAAAGAAATAGAACTAAATATGAAGATTTATGTGCAAGGATAATCATTCTAATATAACTTGTAGATTGAAAGAATTTGGAACATGAATGTCCAGCATTAGAGGACTGATTTAATAAATTATTCAGTATGGCAGGATACTATGCAGTCATTAACCATCACTTTTGGAAGGAATTTAAAAAATATTTATCATATATTAAGCAAAAAAAGAGGTTAAAAATACTGTGTAAAATATGATCTATCCTTCTAAAAATATACCCGCCGCTCACACCCATACCCAATACACCTTGAAAGAAGATAGAACAGGTAGATACCAAAGTATTATACATAGGTAGTGGGATTATGGGTACATTTTTGTTCTTCATTGTACTTTTGTATATTTTCTATCTTTTCCACAATGAATTTATTCCTTTGTAATCAAAAGAAATTCAAGAGCAAAAGTAGAACCTATCCCATGTCACAGGAAGCACTTTTGTATGTCCCTCTCTTTCACCCTCCAGGTTATGGCACCATGCTGTCCTCTGTGGCCCTCCTTTCCATACTTGTCTTCGTCCCCTCAGCAGTGGTGGTGGTTCTGCTGCTGGTGAGAATGGGGAGGAAGGCTGCGGGGCTGAAGAAGAGGAGCAAGTCTGGTTATAAGAAGTCGTCTATTGAGGTTTCAGATGAGTAAGTCCAGCGGGGGCCCTGAGCAGAGAGCCCATTTCCTCTCCAGAGCCCTGCTCTGTGGACAGTACCCAGACCCCTACATCCATGCCTTCCTTTCTTCCAGACCAAGTTTAGTTCTGCAAGTTTAGTTCTCTTTCTTTTGGAGAGAATAGTTCTGCTGAAGAGTACCGGCAGAACGCAGTTGAGTTCTGCAAGTTTAGTTCTCTTTCTTTTGGAGAGAATAGTTCTGCTGAAGAGTACCGGCAGTTTAAAGTGAGACTTGTAGTTATTAATTTGGAGAAGGGTGGAGAGGTTGATAGTATGGTCCTAGTCTTCTGCTTTGGAAATCAGATTGTACAATGCTGTGGTTTGGAATATAAATTCCAAAGTAGATATCTCTTTCTTTCTAAATTAAAAGGAAGCTCCAAGTCAATTATTTTCCCTTCTCCTTGATTTTGGCACTGGGCTGATGTCTCCTGACAGAAAATGCCTGAGCAATGAGAGAGGCTTTAAGAGTAGCTGTAAAGGGCAAACACGATTTAAATAAGATACATTCTTGGTCAGCAGATGCTCTGAAGGGGCTAAATGGATTGTGGTTATCAAAAGCATTTATTGAACATTATTCTGCCAGTAAGCAGGCATGATCCGGTATTTTCCCTAAAAACAAATTTACAAAAAAAAGAAGTAACAAAAATCTACATAAAAATTTTGTTGGTCTCCATTGTTTCTGTTGGGGGTTTTTAACCTGGGGAGGAGAGTCTTACCTCAAGAAGGCCCAAAATTTTCTTTCTGTGTGTGCATTTATTTAATAGAGAGAGAGTACCTTTTACAAGGAATCTGTGGCCCCCAAAAGGTAAAGAATTATTGGTAAAAGTATTCATGTCTGTTTCTAAGTGAGGGATACAAAGGATCTGGCCCTCAAGTCACATTGTTTCCTGCCATTTCTTCCCATTCACCCCACATTCCAGCTGCAATGAGCTTATTTCCTCCCCTTAACATACTATACTCATTTTCTCTTGTCTGGAATGCCCTCCTTTCCTCTCTTGTTTGCCTGGAAACTCCTTACCCTTCAAGACCTAGCAGAAATATCCCTTTCTCCTGAGTATCCCTGAGTCCTCTAGGGAGAATTAGTCACTCTCTGTTCTTTGCTGCCACAGCAGTTTGGCCTTAACTGTATTGAAACATTTATCACATTGTATTATAATGTACTTGTTAAATTTTAACAAGTCACTCACCCCCATGAGATTGTGAACTCTTTGTGAGACCATGACTCATTGATTTCTTCATCCCCTCCTAGCACAATGCCTCAGACGTTGTTGGTGCTCTGTATATTTCTAAATGAATGATTATTTATTTATTTATTTAAAAAAGAAAATGCAATTTTATTAATATTATTTTTCACATGCTAGGATGCTGTTGCAGAGCAGTTGGGAGGGAGGGGGAGAGGGGAAAGGGGAAAGAAATGGGATGGAAGGAGGAAGGAGGGGTGGGATT